CCGCAAAATCCCTTTTGCCTGCTAAGGGTACAGAGACACAGGTTCTGGGACTAGGAGCCTCATTCTTTGGGAGCCATCCTGCAGCCCCCAGAGCTGCCCACAACTCCTCCTGCCCACTCCTTCCATGTGCACACCCCTCCTCCCGTCCACGGGCAGGGTGCTTTCCCGCCCTTGAACCGGGGCTGGCCCTGGTCTGCTCTGACTGGCAGGATGCGGTGGCTGTGACACTGCCTCAGTCTGGGGCCTGGCTGTGACGGGTTATATCCTCTCGGGTTCTTTGAGCGGGTGTGTCAAGAAACACTTTCATGTGTTAAGTTTACACCTGATGCCAGCTCAGGGGCACCTGGCCTGCCGTGTGAGTTGTCCTTCTCCAGATCCTTGTCTCAGTCGGGGTTCAACCAGAGAGTGAACCAGGGGCAGGTGAATGTCAGGGAGGGGAGCTGGCTTAGCTGCCTGTGTGGCTGGCTGGGCTGGCCTGGAATCGTGGGACGTGTCTTCAGGAAGGGCTGGAACTCCCAGGCACTGACTCAGGCTGCTATTCACGGGCAGGATTTCCTCTCCCCCAGGGAACCCCAGTCCTGCTCTTAAGACCTTTCAACTGATGGGACCAGGCCCAGCCAGGTCATCTGGGACAACCCCCCTTGCTTCAGGACAACTAACTGTGGGCTAAGACCACATCTGCAAAGTACCTTATCAACAACACCTGAATCACTGTTTGACTGAATCACTGGAGACAGTAGCCTAGCCAAGCTGACACAGCAAACTGCCTGCCCTTGACAGTCTTCCTTTGAAAATGTGCTCTTAAATTCTGGGAGATAGAAGGTGGTGCGAAAAAATATAAATATGTGTATCTATATATGTATACACACATAAATGTATTTATGTAAGCATGTATGTATATATGTGTGTCTGTGTCTGTATAATTTAGATATATAAAATCTATATATTAGATGGGCCCACTGACTCTCTTTTCTTTGGAAATCAGCCCTGCACAAATGATTGAGATATAATTTATGTGCTCCCCTAAGTGACAAGAGTTTGCTCATATAATTAGCAATAATGATAAATAAAAATAAAATGTGGGCTTATATATGACCAATTATACATCATAAAGCTATCATTCCATCTGTAGGGATCATAAACCACCAAGAACATGTGGGGAGTCCCATGAGATTGGTTCCTGTTGCTAGAAATTACATGAAATGACAACTGACCATGGGAAAAATAATGGGATGAATCTCATGTTTCAATGATGCGGTGGTGCTTGGTGGTGCGGGGAGTGGTGGGGGAGCTGAGCTAGCAAGGAGGAGAGAGGCCTGGACTCAGTTCTTCCACCAGTTCCCCTGGGGTCTTTCTCCTCCTGCGGGCAGTGGGGGTGGCAGGGCAGCCCCTCCATGGGCCAGGCAGAGAGTGCAAATTTCTATGTGCATCTTGTCACTTAATCTCACCAGTGAACAGGTCATGCGGTCATGGTCATCATTCCATTTCACAGACTAGGTAACTGAGGCTGGGAGATGTGAGGTCATGTGTCTAAGGGCAGAGATCTGCCCTGACCCCTGCCCTCTTCCAGCACCGTCAATTACGATTCTTCTACTGAAGGTAATATTAGTATATATTGTGTTTCCAAGGGCTCTTCAAACACTTGTTCCTGGGACCTTAGGGGACATGACCAGCATTCCCATTGGACAAAAGAGGCAACCGAGGGTCCAAGAGTGAATGTCATTATCTGAGGCGTCCCAGTGAGAAAGAGTGGAGCCAGGGGTGATCTGTGGACTCTTGTTTCCCTGAAGCCAGGTATTAGGGGATTTGGAAGGGACAGGTGTTCAGAAAGGATGCATGGTTAGTGGCTTTTGGGAAAGGCAGCAGTGTTTTGCCCAGGGTTTTGCCTTCTCCATAAGCATCCTTGGTAGGAGAAATGTTAGTCCTTCTGCTAATAGGTTGCATGTATACATCCCTCTAAATCACTGCTAGGTTCTGAATCAAGTACTGCAGAAACAAAGGCGGTCACAGGCCTTTGTGAAGATGCTGGCTCAGGGTTCACTGCTGCATGCCCGAGAGTAGCTCACTGAATCCTCCCAACAGCCTGTGTTGCAGCAACAACTGTGATCCTCTGTAACAGATGGGGAAGCTGAGGATCAGAGCGGTTGAGCCGTTTACCCCAAGTGGCCCAGATGATAAGAAACCACATGGGACTCCACCAGGTCTGCCTGCTTGCAGGGCCCAAGGACAGGGGCCACAGGGCCCAGGAGTTCTGGGGGAGCCAGGCAGGGCCAGGAATAGGGTAAGCCAAGTGCCATGTTCACCTCTGGGGCAAAATTCAAGGAGATGCCAGAAGCAGTAAACAAGATATATGGTATTTTCACACAATTTGCAAAAAATAAAAATTGATGCAAAAATCCATGATGAACAAAATATCAAAGCCTTAAACAGAAAGAAGTAACAGGGTTGTGCTGAGCCACATTGGTGCCTGAAGCAAAGGGAAAAATCAGAAATACCGATTCTGTTTTCATTTAAAAATTTCCAGGTTCTTTTTCATTATGGAAATTTTGAAATTTTAAAATAGTATTTATCTTGAACACTGTGTTTTGGGGATGTCTCATTAAAATTTGCACCCCATTTGCCCCACTCGTGGCCTTGGGGGAGCAGCTCCCAGAGGCCAGATAGCACGAAAGGATGGAGGTTGGCATTTCTGGGGACCCATTGGCCAGGCCTGTTCAACCCAGGTACCACTTATACTCGTTTCTGATTTGGGGCGATCCTTTGCCAGGAAACCTTCCGTCAGCGCTCCCCAGCCAGTCAGTCCCTCCCTCTCTTTCTTTTTTTTAATGAATTCATTTATTTTAATTGTAGGCTAATTACTTTACAATATTGTAGTGGTTTTGCCACACATTGACATGAAACCGCCACGGGTGTACATGTTCCCCATCCTGAACCCCGCCTCCCACCTCCCTCCCCATCCCATCCCTCTGGGTCATCCCAGTGCACCAGCCCCGAGCACCCTGTCTCATGCATCGAGCCTGGACTCCCTCTCCTCTTTAAAGCGTTAGGTGGCCCTAAAGAGGCCCCAGAGCCCCGCAGGGTAGGTGCTTGGGACCTCAGCTCGGCAGCCTCACTCCTCAGGGACCCTGGCAGCCTTCCCCCTTGGGCGCTCTGTTCTTGCAACTCCATATCTTCCCAGAAGGGGGCGGCATGCGCACGTGCATTCCCAGCCTGAGACCTGGGGGCGTTTTTTTTTTCTTTCCCACTTTTGCTACTTTTCCTTCTTGTTGCAAACAGTCCCCAGTGACAGCACCCGACAAGGCTGCTCTTTAATCCCTTGCCGACATTCCCTCTCCCAGGTAAGGATGGTGAAAGGTAGGAACCTCTATTGAGTTCTGTTTTGGTGAGCAGCGTTTTCCACCTTGGATTTGAACTGAAAAGAAATCTACACGTTCAGACAGACAAAGCAAGTATGAATGCTGACTATGTGCCAGACTCTTCTTTCCCTGACCGCACAGCAGCCCCAAGAGGTGGTCACTACTGTAAGCCCCTCTTCGGAGATGTGCAGGCTGCCCAGGCTTAGTGGGGCCGGGTGTTCTGGGAGACGTCCCAGTGGTTCCAGCTGGGTGTCCTGTCCACTCCCTCTCTGCACTCACTAACTGCCGAGGAGTTCATGCCCCCCCAAGAGCAGCCCCCAGCCAAGGCGGAGGGGGTGGAGGATGAACGCCCAGCTCTCTGTCTGCAGATGGATGAGCAGTGGATGCTGGGTGCCCCACCCCCCAACTAGTTTTCAGGTGGGCTTGAGTGGGACCCCCTGGTGGTGATTGGCCTTGATAACACTGCCCCTGTCCCATCATATGGCCACCAGCAATGACATTATTGGTGCTGTTTATTGAACACTTACTGTATGCCAGGAGCTGTGTCAAGGGCTCTGCAGAGTTTGCCTTATTGGTTCCTTCAGCAGCTCCATTTTATGGATGAGGAAAGGTCCCAGGTCCCAGTGTCACAGGATGCAGACCCAGGTGTGATGGCCTTAGCTAGCCGCATGAACCAGAGAGTGAAGCAATGGCAGGTGGAGGTTTTCCAGGTGTGAAGAATGAATGGATGCTCCAGGACCGTCACTTTGGATGGCTCTAGGAAGCGTGATGTCTCGGGAATTGTGTGTGTCTGTGGGAGGCTGGGATACGTCCTAGGCTCCGAGAGTCACACCTGGAGAGGGAGGATTCCACCCCTACTCTGTGCCAACTGCAGTGGAGGGATTTTTGTTCCTCTTTCTGCATTTTTTCTGCATTTACTTTCTTTTTTTCTTTCTTTTTTACCATGGGTGAGTATGCATCGCTTCTCATAGTTTGAAAAGAAAACCATAAAAAATTAAGACTTTCAGATGAGAGCACATTTAGAGATATATTAACTGAGAAAATGTAGCTAAAATGAGCTCTTAGCAGGATGCTTGGTCAAAAGTGGTTTCTGGGATGAAGGCAAGTGGATGGCTGAGGGGTTGGATCAGGTTGATCAGTGCCTGCCCACTGTCCCCTCCAAAGGGCAGAGTGCATTGCCCCCCTCTGAAGAGTCACCCCCTCAAGGGCCCAATAGTTACTGGCATACTGTGCTGATCACATGTTATTAATCCTTTTACTTTCCACAGTAACCCCATAAGGTAGGTATTACTATTACTATTATTCCCATTTCTCAGCAAGATGGAGGCCCAAAGGAGTTAAATAATTTGCCGAAGGTCATACAGCACAAAGGAGTAGATCGGATTCTAGCACCAGAATTTGGCCCCAGAGGCAGCTCCCGACCTCTAGGGGAAGGTGCCCCCTCTGGTTGTCTGACACCCCCCTCAGTTGGTGCTCCAGCATGGTCAGCACAAAAAGCCAACATTTCCAGAGTTGGTAAATTCCCTGTGGGCCAATCAGAGACTTTGAGGTCCACAGAGAGAGCATGATATCCTCCGAAGCAAGAGTTCAGGGTCGGCAGACCTGGCTGTTTGAGACATTGCAGCTCTACCCCCACCTCTGCAGCCTTGGATTGGGAAACTGGGGCACAGAGACGGCAAGCTCTTGCCTAGAGCCAGCCGCCGAGGAGCAGGCCTCCTGCACCTGCTGGGTGTGGACTCTGGGCCCGCAGGTGAGTGCTCCGTGGCCAGCCTCTGAGCAGTGGGAATGGGAGCTGGCCCGGGTGCTGGCACGGGTGCAGGCAGGGGTGGCGTGCAAGCCCCCGTCTCTCTGGAGCACCCACTTGAGCCCCACTTCCACCCCCTCCCTCTGCCCCAGTCCCTCTCTCCTGGCCAAACTCCCTGCATCACTGTGACCTTCTCAGGTGCCTCAAAGCCCTTGTCCCAGCTGGCCGGTTCTCCCTCTGGATCTGTGGCTGTTGGGGTGACATCTTCACGAGGCCATCAGCCCCAAGGGGCTGGGACACCCAGCCTGCCTCAGCACAGCCCTGGCACAGAGCAGGTGCTCAGCCAAGTATGTGCTGATGAATGAAGAAAGGAAGAACAAATGAATGTGGTGAGCACTCGGCCCGGAGGTGTCCCAGGGTGGCTGGAGGGTAGGGAGGCAGAGTCGTCAGCTGCAGCCAAGATTTGGTTCCATTTTCTCATCGAAGGAAAACAAAAAATGCGTGCTGATCATGGAAGGAGCCTTTGGATTTCTCTCCCCGGGAAAAGCAGATGATCCCTTATATTTAGCTGTCCTGGCCCACGTCTGGGAGAAGAACTTTCCTCCCCCTTGTGGGTGGGGGGCTGGCTGTGATGCCTTGTCTTGGATGACTTCTGTCCCTCCCTCCCCCTGAAGCATGACAGAGGAGTTGGTGGTGGTTTAATCGCTAAGTCGTGTCTGAGTCTTGCGACCCCATGGGCTGTATCCTGCCAGGCGCCCGTGTCCACGCGATTCTCCTTGCAGGCAGATTTGTTACTGACTGAGCCACCAGGAAAGCCGGATGGGGGAATGGTGGGGGTCGCAATCCAGCCTCCCAGCCCTGGGGCCCGCGCTTTGAACTGTGTGGCCCAGTGGCTGAGGCTCACAGACTGCCGGAATGGAGCTGGGCTTGTGACAGCTGCTCTCCGTTTCTGTGGCGAAGGGAGAAAGCAGCAGGGATCTGCACTTGCTGTGTTTTCATGAACAATTTCCTCCTCAGGGCGTGGGGCCATCACCTGGCCCAGGGGCCCCAGCATCTCCAGGTGAAGGAAAAGAGCCTGGTAGGGAAGCCCCCCCTGTCTGACCCCAGGGTCTTCCTGGTCCCCAGGAGAGGGCACAAGCGTCTTTTGCTGCCGCCTCCAGAGGCTGTGGGTGGAGGGGAGGGCAGAAGTCAAGAGGGTGATGATCCTGGCACGGGGGCGCCGTGGCTGGTGCCCTCGCCTGTGCCGGGCTCTACAAGCCAGACAGGTGGGGGAGGAGACGGAGGTGGAGAAAGACGATGGGGGGCAGGGGCCTCCAGATGGGTGGCAGTGGCGGCTGGCTTTTCTGTGGGTGTCTGGCTGGTGACCTTTCGGAGGAGTGGATTCAGAAGCGACTGCTGTTTGTCGAGGCCCGGTTCAGAAACATCCTCAGTGTTAAATGTCAGACCCCCACTGTCGCCAGGAAGCAGGAGGTGCCTCTTCGTAGGAGGCAGACTGGCTGATACCAACAGGGTGAACGGACGCCCCCTGCTCTGCCAGCCCAGGGTTGGGGATTTGAGGTGCTCCGTGGGGATTGGAGCAGAGCGTGGGTTGTGAGCATCTGGAGAGTATAGGAATCGGCAGGCTCCCCGCCCTGCTTTGTGGGAGCTGCCCACCTGGTGTGTGAGTGTGCGTGTGTGCGGGGCCTCCAAGGGGAACCTGATAATTGCCTCTCCCCCAACCCTGAGGGCACCCACCCTGCATGTCACCCCCCCATGCTGACAGGGCCTGGGCTGAAGTGGTAAGATCTCTTCACAGGGTCAGGCATGCTAGGCCTCGCTTGGGATTGACAGGGGGCATCTGAAAGGGGGGCCAGTCACTGGCCTTTCATAGCCTTTTGTGGGCTCCCTCCTAGGTGCCTGCAAGCCTCAGGCGGGGAGGTGGGGGGCAGCAGCTTCTCCAAGGACTTAGTAACAGTCCTGTGCATTTGGATTCTTTCCGAAGAAATTAGAGACGTGTTTGCCCTCTGTGAGACCACGTTTATTTTCCTAACTCTAAGCCCAGGAACAGTTTGGTCTGGGCTGGTAATGTCCCAGTCCGTCGCTTCATATTGCACATCTCAGGGTCTGTGAGACTGGCTTTGGACCCTCCGCTCCTTGTGCTGGGCGGGGCTGAAATGATAAATTGCAGGCACTTAGCTCTTGATCTCCGGAGGGGACTCTGCCCTTCTTGGCCTTCTGGCTAAGATCCAGTGCAGAGAGGACCCTGAGCAGGGGATAAAGCACACTCCTGTTTGCACAAGAGAGAAGCATTTTCCATCCACCTCCTGAGTGTTGATTTCCTTAAATGGCATCTGAACAACATCCCAGGCCTGGAGGGCTGGAGCCACAAACCTGCCCGTTTGGGACTTGCCACCTGAAGCCAAGCCCCTGGCCAGGGTTTCAAAAGTTTGGCAGGAAAATAAATGTACCCAGTGGATTTATGCATTTATTATTTACTTTTAAACTTTTTAATACTGAAGTCTATCGTAATACACGCTTCCCTGGTGGCTCAGATGGTAAAGAATCTGCCTGCAGTTTGGGAGACCTATGTTTGATCCCTTGGTTGGGAAGATCCCCTGGAGAAGGGAATGGATATCCACTCCAGTATTTTTGCCTGGAGAATCCCATGGACAGAGGAGTCTGATAGGAATGCGCATGCATCAAAGTGCCAAGCCCGATGTGTTTTCACCAACAGAACATGCCTGTGTCACTGGCATCCAGACTGAGACCTGGATTGTGACCACCCCCTCCCCGTTGCCTGTCCTAGCCCTGAAGAGATGCTATGCTGACTTCTCTCAGCATCCATCCAGTTCGTCTGTTTTTGCACTTTATATAAATGGAATCATACAGCACGTTCTCTTCTGTATCTGGCTTCTTTGGCCCAGCATCCTGCAGATTTATTTTTATCTCTGATCCCACCAGAACTGTTTTCCTGAGGCTGGGAAAGATGGGGCAGAGATGGCCAACAGAGGTACTGACCACATGGCCGCCACGAATGACTGAGATCTGACGAGGCAAACTGATGGCTTGAGGGCTGGTTGTGCTCCGCTTGCCCTCTGCCGTGGGAAATATATGTCTCCGTGTTATATATGTCGGGTATATAAAAATATATATAAAAGAGTAATTTCACGCACGTCACCCAGAATTGACAACTTAACATAACTTTCAGCCATTTAAGAATAATTAAGCTGAATTCACATTACGTAAAAAGAACCATTTTAGAGAGTATAGCTCAGTGTTGTTTCATGTATCCACCATGTTGTACAATCATTGCCTTTGTCTAGTCCCAAAGCTTCTTTATTGCCCCGAAAGGAAACCCTGTACCCATTAGCTGGCAGTCCTCAAGCCCCCTTCCTCCAGACCCCGGCAGCCACAGCTCTACTTTCTGTCTCTGTTTATTTGCCTAATCTGGACGTTTTGTACAAATGGGATTGGCTCTTTTCTGTGTTTGGCTCTTTTCACTTGCATCATGTTTGTAAAGTTCTTCCATGTTGTAGTGTGTCTCAATAACATCTTCCTTTTTATGTCACTTTTGCTCCAAGTCATTTTTTTCTGTATTTTTTGAAGGATAATTGCTTTACAATATTGTGTTGGTTTCTGTCATAAACCAACATGACCAAGTCATTTTTTTTCTTAAGCAGAGGAAACAGCTTTTATTGATGAGTTATTTCCAAAAACCACACAAATGGTGTTATCTGCTGCCGTGTAACAAAGTACCCTCAAACTGAGTGGTTTAAAACACCATTTGTGACCTCCCAGCTTCTGGGGGTCAGGAGCCTGGGTACAGCCTATCTGGGTCCTCTGGGTCAGGGTCTCTCGCAGGCTGTGGCCATCACAAGGCTCCACAGGGAAGGATCGTGTCCAGGCTTGCTCATGGGATCGCTGGCAGGACTCAGCTCCTCGTGGGCCGTAGGGTTAAGGCCATATGAGCTGTTGGACTGTGGCTTCCCTCACTTTCTTGTCATGCGAGCATCTCCACCAGGCATCTCATGACATGGTAGCCGGCCTCATCGGAGAGAGAGAGAGAGAGATTGAGAGAAACAGGAGGGAGAAGGAGAGGAGAACATGACTGGGCTGGAGTCACAGCCTGTTGTAACCTCATCTGGGAAGTGGTGACAATATTTTATGTCCAAGACAGATGACTTACCAATTCCAAACTCCAAAACACTTCCAGGTCCACAAATACTCATTTGACAGCAAAGTTCATTTGGTAGCAAAATCTGAACCAAGAATCCTTAGAGTCTTGATTCCTTTCGATCTGAGCATTCATACATTTTACAACAAAAATACAAATGGATTTCATTTGGTGGAGCTGCCCTAGATCGTACCAGAAAGTGAAAGTGAAAGTTAGTCGCTCAGTCATGTCTAACTCTTTGTGAGCCCACCAGGCTCCACAGTCCATGTTATTCTCCAGGCAAGAATACTGGAGTGGGCTGTCATTCTCTTCTCCAGGGAATCTTCCCAAACCAGGGATCAAACTTGGGTCTCCCACTTTGCAGATGGATTCTTTACTATCTAAGCCATCAGGGAAGCCCCAGACCTTAGTAGAAGGGTTATATAATACATAATATATGCACGATCTAAAATCTACAAAGCTCTAAATTCTCAGACACACCTGGTCCCATACTGTGTATGCTGTGGTCCACTGGGTGGGTACTCGTGTGTGTTTGAACACATAAGAGCAAGAGATGTGTTTTCCACTAGCTTTACTTCTTTTGATCATGTCATTTTCTTGAAACTCAAGCATCAGAGTTTCTAATTTGTCTTGGATGAGCTGTGCTTGTGACGGCATCCATTCCGAGTCCTCGGCCCGATTATGTTTTGCTTCATTTCCGAGGTTGCTCATTTAGACTGAGGCCGTCTGGATGGTCATTGCTGTGATGTATTTCAGCATCTTGTAGCCAGGTTTGCCAGCCTTGTCTTGACCTTGGAAATGTGGTGACATTTATGAGGTCATTTAGACACCCACAAGGAGGTTGATTTCCATAGATTAAATGTCAAGTTTGAGACGGTCCAGGGTAATGGACTCCTCGATGCTGTCCACTCCCATTCTCAAATATCCTTTGACTGGACATTTCTGCTCCATTACAAGCCCACAAGTGCCAACCAAATTACTCAGGTCGTCTGAATCCAGGGGATTGGGATGGGGAGGCTCCGGGCAGTGTCAAGTGAGATGGGCAGAAATGTTGTCTCATTTTTATTTTTCAAATAAAACATAGCTGTGGTTAGTTGGTGAATATAATACTGGAGGTAGGAAAAAAATCCCACCAACTGAGGTTCCTGAGATATTAGTTAGTTTATAAAACCTAACTACTTGTGTATTGACCAGCATAAAAGGATAAAAAAGAATCTGTACATCAACGTTTTAAGTAGAAGTAGTTTTATGGGGCGTTAAACACATGGACATAAACTTGGAGTAAGCATTATCTAAGTTAAGTAACAAAAAGCACTAAATAGTCTTCTGGAAATTTAAGTGTATTTGTGTTCTCATTGTCTGGAGGATGTGTGTCTCCAGATTTTGATTTGAGTCTCTCCCTCTCTTTAAAGAAATCTTAGAGTTTATAGTCACCATGCTGTACATTACATACTCAGGATTCATTTACCTTATAACTGGAAGGTTGTACCTTTTGACCTCCTTCACCCATTTTCACCACCCCCACGTCTGACAACCATCAATCTGTGCTCTGTATCTAAGAGACTGAGTTTTTTTTTTTTTTTTAAGGTTCCACGTAGGTGAAATCGTACAGTGTTTGTCTTTCTCTCTCTGAGTTAGCATCATGTTCTCTGTCTATCTGTGTTGTTGAAAATGCAGAATTTCCTTTCTTTTTGATGGTGAATAACGTTTTGTTGTATACACACATACTACACTTTCTTACCCATTTATCCAATGGGCCCTTCAGTTGTTTCCAAACCTAGATCCTGTGCAAAATGCTACAGTGAACACAGAGGCGCAAATACCTCTTCCAGATAGAGATTTCACATCCTTCAGATAAATGGCCAAACGTGGAACTGCTGGATCTTATGACAGTTCTATTTCAAACTTTTAGAGGAATCTTCATGGCTGCTTCCTATAGTGAATGTCAATGTACATTCCCACCAACAGCACACAGGGTTGATCTGAATCTCTTGAATTTTTATTTCCTCAAAGAACTGAAGTCCACCAGATCTAAGTATGGATGTGCCCATTTCCTCTGCCGGTGCACAGTGGGCACCAGGGCTAGGAGAGCCCTGAAAACCTTTAGAACCCAGACTTCTGGTCTTTCTGAAGGTTCAGCTGTTCGGCCATGGCATGACCTGCTCTGCTCCTCCAGGTCATTTCCTTTGACAGTACTGACCAGCCTCCCTA